TTTCAGCTATGATTCAAGTTATAATTCTTTCTTACTCTACCATCTTACTATTCAACATGACATTTGCATCATTCTGTTTGTGAAATCTTGTTCATCACAAACTTTATACGTTTTTTGCCCTAATTTTCTCTCTTGTCATAACTATTACTTAACATTGCGCAATCGCACTTTTCACTCTCGCCAGATGTTCATTAGTTGCTGTTATGAAATCTTCTCAAGGGTTTCTGTTGACGTGTAGCATCTCGGTTTCGAAATCGTTGTTTTCAAAAATCAAATAATGTCATCATTAATGTTCGGGCAGCCTTGAGGAAAAAAAAGTGTGTAGAGAGTTTACGGAATCATGGATGGTATTCCCCGACATTATTTTTTTGACATCTTCACAACAAAGTGTTAGGTTTAGTTTTGGAACCTAGGACTGCTTTCCAACAACTATTAAGTACTATTTTCGTTTATCTAATATATTTATCGATCTTTGCTTTTCGAAATATCATTTTACATTATATTTTTGTTTTCTAAATTTAGCATAACAATAATGATTCATTGTGGACTAACACTTTAAAGTGGCGTGGTTTTTTGATGCGCCCAAGGTCCTCTCACATAGTTCTTTTTCACGTACTTTTTTGGCCAGATGATAATTTCAAGATCTCAATGAGACACTGGAATGAACTGCTTGATATAAATATTGTCTGATTTTATCTTGCTAGTTGTTTTCTCGAAAAAATAGCTCTAGAATGTTGCTGACGTCTGCTATCTCAAGAATGCGTCATTTCGTAATACAGCAGTAGACCAGCATTCTGCATCGGACTTAGTTGCTCTGCAGCACGTGTCGCACTTCAGTGCTGTCCACCTACGCTCGTCGTATGAGTCAGTCAACAACAAAAAAACATATTATTGATTCTCAGCCTTACGTAACACACTGCTGTCGTTTCCTGAATTATGTTGAGTACATTTGGGGGCGAGCTAGATATGTTTTGGGTACTGTTTTACTTGCCACTCCTACCACCATTTCCTACAATAATTAATAATTTCCAAAACTCAGCGGGAAGTTTTCCGAAATTTACATAGCTAGAAACATTCTGAGAAGCGAGAAACCAGGATTCGCAAAAAAACCCTTTTTCCCACTCTTGTGCGCGAATCGACCTCTACCTATTTCCGATCGCATTAACTTGCCTTGTTTGATAGAAAAAATTCTGCAAAAATACATCTAGCCACCGCGAGTGCGCGGGAGAGAAAGTACAGTAAATTTCGCATTTTACACCCTTTTTATGGCCTTCCGCTTACTATGTTGCAGTAGATGAAGATGAGTGTCTTCTTCAAACTATCACAGCTGAATGAGCACTTCACTTGCTAATTACTTTCTAACATTATTTGATTCCAGTAATTTGTTGAGGAAGACCTCGATAAATCTATTTGTGGTATCAATTATGTTCACATTGAATGAATCAAAGAAGCTAAAGGAGATTTGAACATTGAAAATCTAGTGGATCTTCGTGCAACCTAGGCTAACAAGCCTAGTCCAAACAGTGCACATTAATTTGATCAGCTTTTGTAACCATACAACTCATCTCTTCTCAGTACCGCATTACGAATAAGAATTTTTCAAAGTTGAAAGAAGAAAATTGCTATCATGCAGCCTTTTTGAGCCGTTTTTGCAAATTCAATTTTTTGAGCAACATTATCGCTGAACACACATCCTTTTCCATTTGAATAAGCTAGGTGATAAAATCAGTATTATAGTATTCCACTAATTCTGCAATGCAAGCGTGCTACTCATAAGCCGGACGATTTCCCAGTTATGCCATGCGATGATGTTTTTAGCTTTCCAATGAAAAGGAAAATTGTCCTCTCAGGGAA